TTTATAAAAACTTCATTCTGCTAAGTTAGCAACCATTCATTTTTTTGGTTCCTCTTCATGTATAGTTTTCCCAAGTGTCCGTTCAAATACTACATAATGGTGTAGACCATTTAATATTCCAAACATGATCTGAAAGACTAGAGGAATCGCCATTAATTTCATTTGCGTTTGACAAAGCATCATCCAATGGAGTAAAACCCTTCCTTTTGGTGGCAGTGGAACGGTATGATACTTGGTTGCCAGATGTCCATTTTTAGTAAACGCCAAAGAACTGGGGTAGAAACCACCACAAACTATGCCAATCAGTGAGCTTCTGAAAACACAGTTTTCCTTGCTTATATTATCTTGAAGCAGCGTCTGAACAGGAAGTTTGAGAATATTCCAGAGAAACCAGTTGTTGTCCCAAATGATGCCGTTTGATATATATTTGGTGTCATTTCTTTTCTAAGGTACTCAAAATTTTTTTCTATGATTTATATGATCACTGGTCTTCTGAGTTTTGCATCTTCTAGAGAAGGACTAGGTTGACCATGCATAGATGCTGTCATCTTGACATCCTTGGGCGCTTCCTCAATTCCCACCCGCACCACACCTGAATCCCTCAGCTTAGCCCCCGCCTCATACCCGAACACCGCCATTTTGGTATTCTTTATACATTCTGCACATAAACCCCTTATCAGATATATGATTTGTAAATATTTTCTCCTATACTGTATGTTGCCTTTTCACTTTATAAATTATATTCTTTGATACACAGTGGTTTTATTTATTTATTTATTATTTTTTGAGACAACCTCACTCTGTTGCCCAGATTGGAGTACAGTGGTGCAATCTGTTGCCCAGATTGGAGTACAGTGGTGCAATCTTGGCTCACTGCAACCTCCGCCTCCCAGGTTCAAGCATTTCTCCTGCCTCAGCCTTCTGAGTAGCTGGGATTACAGGCATGTGCCACCACGTCCAGCTAATTTTTTGTATTTTTAGTAGAGACAGGGTTTCACCATGTTGGCCAGGCTGGTCTTGAACTCCTGACCTCAGGTGATCTACCTCAAGTGATTACAGGCGTGAGCCACCATATCCGGTGATACACAGAAGTTTTAAAGTTTGATTTAGTGGTCTTTAAATTTTTGAATGCTTTACAGGAGACATAAAACTGCCATACTACATGAGAACTCAAATGGTAAGTACTTAAATAAATATGAATTCTGGAACATTAGATTCTAAATGGGAGGGATGCAACAGATAGAACTTGAAAGTTCCCTGAAAGGACAGGAGAGCAGACTGCACCCTCTGGTTCACCCTCCCAAGGCTCAGTGCTTCCCTCTCTGTCCCAGGCCCACTGCAGAATCTCTCAAAATAGACATATCCTGGGCAACCCACCAGACTTGTCACTAACAAATGTATGCAGGATTGGGAATGGCTCCAAAAGCAAAAGCATTAATAGTAGGGTCATTAAGTCCCGTATGCCTTAACGCTTTGACTAGTTTCCAGTCTGTACCTAGAAAGCTTGGAACCAGTGCCTTACCTTTCATGTCTTTGGATAATTCCAGATGTTTCCAAACAAAAAGAGTGCCCAGATCACCATACTGTTCTTCCCATACTCCCATGAGAAAAATACACTTAAAGGTTGAAAGGAAATTACAAGAGAGTGGCCAGCCACAGTGGCTTATTGTGCTTGTAATCCCAGCACTTTGGGAGCTCAAGGTAGGAGGATCACTTGGGCTCAGGAGTTCGAGACCAGCCTAGGCAACATCGTGAAACCTTGTCCCTACAAAAAAACAAAAAAAAATTAATCAAGTGTAGTGGTATGTACCTGTAGTCCCAGTTACTCAGGAGGTTGAGGTTGAGGTGGGAGGATTTCTTGAGCCTGGGAGGTCAAGGCTGCAGTGAGCCAAGATTGCACCACTGCACTCCAGCTTGAGTAACACAGTGAGATCCTGTGTCAAAAAAAAAAGAAAGAAAGAAAGAAAGAAAGAAAGAAAGAAAGAAAGAAAGAAAGAAAGAAAGAAAGAAAGAAAGAAAAAAGAAAATAGAAAGAAAAAGAAAATTACAAGAAAGTAATCATAACATCTGTTACAATGTGGATGAACCTTGAAGACATTATGCTTAGGGAAAAGAGACAGACACAAAAGGTCACATATTGTATGATTCCATTTAAAACATTCAGAGTAAGTAAATACATACGGATGAAAAGAACACTGGTAGTTGTCCGGGGCTAGGAGGAGGGAGAAATAAGAAGGAGCTGCTTAACAGGTAGGTACAGAGCCGTATTTTGACATGGAATTGTTTGGAACTAGATGGAAGTGATAATTGAGCAACATTGTGAATCTACCAACTGCCACTGAGTCGTTCTCTTTACAATGGTTAGTTTTATATTATATAAATCTGTCTTCAGTAAAGAAAGAAATCAGTCAATCAGTGTATAGAACACTGAATGTCAAATCCCATGATTAAGGCAGAGACTCATTGGCCCCACGATTAAATGGCTTCCTCTCCATTCACTCCCAAGCCTGCATTTGTCAGTGGGAATCTGAGCAGGGTCTGACCCACACCCTCTGCAGCAACCAGCTCAGAAAGGCAAACCAGAAACTGTTGTAGCAACCAACCCACACCAGTCAGGACATGGCAGTGATGCAGCTTCTCTAATTTGTGCCCTAGCTTCGAACTCAGAACCAAGCAGAGAAAGCCAAATGTACCCCCATAACCAGTCATATGAGATGCCTCAATGCTTATTAGACACTTCCAGTGTCCCATGTCAATAGCCTGCAGTCAACAGCACATCTGACGCCTTCCCTTTTGTTCACTACAAAGCTTTCCCACTTTGTCAAAAGTGGCTGACTCTCTTGCTTTAGCAGGCACTTTCTAAGTAGGCCCTGACTGTTCCCATTTGAGTTGTCTTTATTTCCACGCAGCTGTCAAGACATTACCAGGGATTTTCACATTTCGGTGACCTTCAGTGATAATTACATCTACCATTGTACACCACAGTA